TTCCCCAGGGAACGCCGGGGCCAGGAAGAGAAAAATGAGTTAGAAAGGAATTTAATAAGGAATTTCCAGAGTTAGAAAGGAATCTTGAATACCAGACAGAATTCTGAATTTCAGAGACTATCGAATCAGAATTCCCCAAGAAGCGCCAGGGCCAGGAAAGGGAAACGGAGTTAGAAAGGAATGTAATAAGGAATTTCCAGGGTTAGAAAGGAATTTTGAATACCAGAGAGAGTTCTGAACCTCAGAGACAATCGAATCCGAATTGCCCGAGAAAGCCAGGGCCAGGGAGGGAAAAAAGAGTTAGAAAGGAATTTGATAAGGAAACTCCACAGTTAGAAAGGATTTTTGAATGCCAGAGAGAATTCTGGATTTCAGAGACTATCGAATCAGAATTCCCTAAGAAACGCTGGGGCCAGGAAGGGAAAACGGAGTTAGAAAGGAATGTGATAAGGATTTTCCTGGGTTCCGAAGGGGAAGAAGGAACTCCGTTTTCCCTTCCTGGCCCCAGCGTTTCTTGGGGAATTCTGATTCGATAGTCTCTGAAATTCAGAATTCTCTCTGGCATTCAAAAATCCTTTCTACCTTTAGAATTTCCATATCAAATTCCTTTCTAACTCCTTTCTCCCTTCCTGGCCCTGGCTTTCTCTGGCAATTCGGACTCGATTGTCTCTGAGGTTCAGAATTCTCTCTGGTATTCAAAATTCCTTTCTAACTGTGGAAATTCCCTATTAATTTCCTTTCTAACTCCGTTTCCCTGTCCTGGCCCCGGCGCTTCTTGGGGAATTCTGATTCGATAGTCTCTGAAGTCAGAATTCTCTCTGGTATTCATAATTCCTTTCTAACTCTGGAAATCCCTTATCAAATTCCTTTCTAACTCCTTTTTCCCTTCCTGGCCCCAGCGTTTCCTGGGGAATTCTGACGCGATTGGCTCTGAGATTTAGAATTATCTCTGGTATTCAAAACTCCTTTCTAACTCTGGAAAATCGTTATCGAATTCCTTTATAACTCCGTTTCCCCTTCCTGGCCCCAGCGTTTCTTGGGGAATTCTGATTCGATTGTCTCTGAAGTTCAGAATTCTCTCTGGTATTCATAATTCCTTCCTAACTCAGGAAAAATTCTTATTAAATTCCTTTCTAACTCTTTGTTTCCCTTCCTGGCCCTAACTTTCTCGGACAATTCTGATTCGATGCTCTCTGAGGTTCAGAATTATCTCTGGTATTCAAAATTCCGTTGTAACCCAGGAAAGAACGTACCACATTCCTTTCTAACTGTGTTTCCCCTTCCTGGCCCCAGCGTTTCTTGGGGAATTCTGATTCGATCGTCTCTGAAATTCTGAATACTCTCTGGTATTCAAAATTCCTTTCTAACTCGGGAAAGTCCGTATCAAATTCCTTTCTAACTCCTTTTTCCCTTCCTGGCCCCAGAGTTTCTTGGGGAACTCTGATTCAATAGTCTTTGAAATTCAGAATTCTCTCTGGTATTCAAAATTCCTTTCTAACCCGGGAAATTCCTTATCGAATTCCTTTCTAACTCCGTTTCCCCTTCCTGGCCCCAGCGTTTCTTGGGGAATTCTGTCGCGAGTGGGCCTGCGATTCAGAATTCTCTCTGGTATCCAGAATTCCTTTCTATCTCTGGAAAATCCTTGTTAGATTCCTTTCTAACTCCTTTTTCCTTCCTGGCCCAGACCTCTCGGCGTCGTAAAAAAAAACACCAAAAACGAAATTCCTTTCTAACTCTTGAAATGCGTTATTTAATTCCTTTCTAACTCCTTTTTTTCCTTCCTGGCCCAACCCCCCCGGCGCCGTAACAAAACAAAACAAAAACAACCTCAAAAAACGAATTGCATATCTAACTCTTGAAATTCCTTATTAAATTCCTTTCTAACTCCTTTTTTTTCCTTCCTGGCCCAGACCTCTCGGCGTCGAAGAAAAACAAAACAAAAAACAACCACAAAAAACAAAATGCTTTTCTAACTCTTGAAATTCCTTATTAAATTCCCTTCTGACTCCTTTTTCCTTCCTGGCCCAGACCTCTCGGCGTCGTTAAAAAAAACAAAAAAAACAACCCCGAAACACGAAATTCCTAACTCTTGAAATTCCTTATTAAATTCCTTTCTAACTCCCTTTTTCCTTCCTGGCCCAGACCTCTCGGCGTCGTAAAAAAAAAAAACAGACCCCCGAAAAAAAACAACCAAAAAAACAAAATTCCTTTCTAACTCTTGAAATTCCTTATTAAATTCCGTTCTAATTCCCTTTTCCTTCCTGGCCCAGACCTCTCGGCGTCGTAAAAAACAAAACAAAAAACATACCCCAAAAAAACGAAATTCCTTTCTAACCCTTGAAATTCCGTATTAAATTCCTTTCCAACTCCTTTTTCCTTCCTGGCCCAGACCTCTCGGCGTCGTAAAAAAAAGAACAAAAAAAAACACCCCAAAAAAAACAAAATCCTTTCTAACTCTTGAAATTCCTTATTGAATTCCTTTCTAACTCCTTTTACCTGGCCCAGACCTCTCGGCGTCGTAAATAAAAAACAAAACAAAAAAAACAGCGCAGAAAAAAAATCCTTTCTAACCCTTGAAATTCCTAATTAAGCAAACGAAACGAAAAACAACCCCAAAAAACGAAATTCCTTTCTAACTCTTGAAATTCCTTATTACATCCCTGTCTAACTCATTTTTCCTTCCTGGCCCAGACCTCTCGGCGTCTTAAAAAAGCAAAACAAAACAAAAACAACCCCCAAAACGAAATTCCTTGCTTGCTAACTCTTGAATTTCCTTATCAAATTCCTTTCTAACTCGTTTTTTCCTTCCTGGTTCAGACCTCTCGGCGTCGTAAAAAAAAAACAAAACACCAAAACAACCCAAAAAACAAAATTCCTTTCTAACTCTTGAATTTCCTTATCGAATTCCTTTCTAACTCCTTTTTCCCTTCCTGGCCCTGGCTTCCTCGGGCAATTCGGACTCGATTGTATTTGAGCTTCAGAACTATCTCTGGTATTCACATTCCTTTCTAACTCAGGAAATTCCTTATCGAATTCCTTTCTAACTTCCCAACTCAATAAAAATGCATAACCAAAATGCTCTTGGCAATATTTCGAGCCTACATTATTAATTCCCGACACAATTATTGATGTAATTGCATACAGTGCGCACTACAGAAATAATTCCGAAACCAATTAAAGCTGTACTGTAACCAAAAAAATCAATGGTAAACATAACTTATCCGAGCTCCGCGCGGACTTCTTGGATCGGCACTGCCCCCCCTCCCTTGCGAGCGGAGCGCGCCAAGGGCGGCGCCGGAGGCGCCGCCAAGGAGGCCCAGCGCCGGTCCGAAAAATCCGCCAGACATACGAGAAACGATGCTCATGCCATTGGCGCGTTCTGCGATGTTCTCCTGCGCTGCCCCGCGGCGGCCCCAAAAACCATCGGCACTGCAAATGCCGAGAGTTCCGTTGTCATCGGGGAGGCCGTCCACGCCGGCGCAAACCAAAGGACGATGGGTTCCCGGTCGCGAGCCAACGCCGCAGGTCAGAGGATACCTCAGGAAGCAACTCCTGGGAGGCTTTCGGGAAACATGTTGATAGACAAGCGCGAACCACCTCTCGCAAAATAAGCGCTCGCGAACGGCCTGGGCCCGCCGCGGGGGATGCGCGATCCATTCTGTTGAAGCAAACGTGTGTTTGTCGGAAGTTTGCGAGCAGGCACTTTGCGAGCAGTGGAACGCGCTCGGTGAATCAAAAGCGATCGAGCCCGATGGCGGGGTCACTATGCCAAGGCATGCCATATTAAGCTTGGGATGAATGTGGGCACGCGAATTTCATGAAGATGGGAGCCTCGCGACTTAGAGAAAAACAAAACAACGCGGGGGAGGCGGGTAGGACACGAATAGACCACGCGCTCGCGGCGACGCTCGAAGGCGCTCGGAGTCCGCGCGCCGCCGCTCGAAGGCGCCTGCCTGGCGCGCGCGCCGCCGCTTGAGTTCGCCTGGCGCGCGCGCCGCTCAGTTAGGCAAGGCTGAGCGGGAGCAGGCCATGAAACCATATCAAGCGGGATGCAGCTGGATGCAGCGGGACTGCGATGGGTTGCTGCGGTTCTGGACCACGGCTGTGCCAGCGCCGATGCTGCGAGCGCAACCTCCCAAGAGCTGCACCCTGAGGTGTCCACCTTGCCTTAAGCCGGGCCAGTCCCTCTACAGGAGACGACCCCAAATAGTAAAACAAATAATCTGGGGACGATTGTTCTACTATTCTAAATGATACGGGGAGGATGTTTCGACTATTTTTGACCATGTTTGATCATTCGTTGATGTTTCCATATTGTTCGTCAAAAAATCGCCTGTAGGGGGCATGCTCGACCTAAACCTTGCCCCGCTCGGGGCCAATACCAGGAGAGCTTGACCCCCGGCCTGGAGGGGGTCGCCCGGAAGCGTCATGGGGTGAGCAGCAGAGAACAGATGGCCACAGCCGCTGGGCCGAGGAACCGGGCGTGGCATGCGCAGGTCAATCCCGCTGGGCGGTCGGGGTCGGACTGGGGGGGGGCGCCACAGTGAAGTAGCAAAACAAGCACAGAGGAGGAGGAGGAGAGGGAGGAGGCGTAGGAGGATGAGGCGGAGGAGGGGGTGGAGGAAGAGGAGGAGGAGGAGGAGGAGGAGGAGGAGGAGGAGGAGGAGGAGGAGGAGGAGGAGGGGGAAGAGGAGAAGGAGGAGGAGGGGGGCTCGCTCAGCCCAGCGCACGTGGCTCTCTCCGTAGCCCATGGCTGGAACGCAGAACGGGGGCAAGCACAGGCAAGAGGCCGATAGCCTGATGCTTTCGCCCTCGGAGCGTGTCGGCTCGTTCGGCGCCAGGCCGAAGCCAGCCGATCAGAGCCGCAGAAGCCCTATGGTCAACAGCCGCGGCGGAGGAGAAAGAGACGGAGGAGGGTAGGGAGGAGAGTTAGAGGAGGGAGGAGGAATAAGGAAGGAAGCGCGAGGGGAAAGAGAGAGAGGACATGTGGGGCAGGAGAGGGGACAAAGGTAAACTAGGTGCGCTCGCGCTGCACCTGACATCCGACCCATCACTTCCTACTGCTTGAGATCCCGTTCTATCGTCCGCCTGGGGTGTCCTTGAAGACCGTGAGGCCCACATGGCAGATGCAGGATTTAACCCATAGGTTGCTGCGCAATGGCAAACGAGACCGTCATACGTTAGAGGGAGAGGAGGAGAAGGAGGAGGATGCGCAGGAGCATAAGAAGGGGGAATATTAGGAGGAGAAGGAGCAGGAGGAGTACGCGGAGAAAGGGGATCGGGGGGAGCCAGAGGAGGGGGAGAGAAGGGGGGGGGCGACAACGACAAGAGAAATGCAGCCGATATCCAGAAGTGCGACCAACTCCGAGGCGAAGAGAGCACCACTCCGAACGACCGGAGCAGAGCACCGATCCTGAGGCGCGGCAGCTCTGCCACGGAAGGCACCACCCAGAAGGACCGACGGGGCCCCGACCGGGAGGGAGGGAGCAGGAGAGGGGGGGGGGAAGCAGGAGCGGCAGCAGCGCGCAGGAGGAAGGGGAGGGAGACACGGGAGAGAGGGCTGGGGGAGGGCTCGAGACGATGGGTCAGGCCTCCTCCTCCTCCTCCTCCTCTTCCTCCTCCTCCCCCTCCTCCTCCCCCTCCTCCTCCGGAGGCAGCACCCGGGATTTTTTCCCTGGAGCGATGCAGGGCGATTGAGCCCGACTCGAGGGCCACTTCATGGGATCAGGCCGGATTCAGCTCCAGATGCAGCTGGATCAGGACAGACTGAGCCGGATCCAGCGGGAGAAAGCAGGATCAACCCCGATCAGCCCAGATTGAGCCGGTTATCGACCGCGAAGATATTAATGCCGATACAGAAATGAACCTCCTAGGAATTGCACCCTAGCGATGGGGGGGAGATAAGAGAGTAGGCCGGCCCAGGTGAACGATGCACGGGGCAGCCAGGTCTGCCGCCAACCAGGACAATGCAGGGTGTGCGTCCGCTGAGGGGGAGGGCGGTAAACGTGGGGTGAAGAGCGTGCACCCTGCGCGCACTTGCTTGGGCACGTGCTGGTCTTCTCTGAAAGCTTCGACCCCCCCACGCTTATTGCCCCCCTGCTGCCGTCCGCTCGATAAAAATTGAAACATCAGAGCAAGGGGGCCAATTGCCCGGTACCCTATCGGCCCTTCACTGACAGCAACCGGTTGTACTGGACGCGGTGCGCCTTTGCCGGCTCCTCTCTGAACGCGGCGTCGGCCTTCGCCTTCGCTATGTAGGCGATCATCTTGTCCGTCTCCTCGTCGTAGGTGTAGCCCGCGTCCCAGTTCCAGCGGGGGTCCCAGGTGCCGCCTCCTCCCTGTGGTCCTGGGTGCGACGGGTTGCTGGACCCTAAGGACATGTATGCCGGGTCGTCGTACTCCTGATGGTCGATGCCAAAGGGGTTACGCGAGGACGGCCCATAGGGGATCCCTGGGCTCCCGTACCCATGGGGGATACCCCCAGCCGTCTTGTCGGTCGCCTGTCCATAGACGTGCGGACCAGGTGAACTTCCCGAGCCCGTCCACTTGGCAAGGTTGTCCAGTCCAGGTACGTTGAGGTGGCCTTGACGGGGGTACTCCAGCGCAGGGGGGGGCGCCGACTTGCACCACGTCGGAATTGGAATACCGCGCCTCTCGAAGTACGCGGGGTTCACCCACACATGGTCATTGTAATGGAAGCGCGGCTCGACGTAGTTGATCCAAAATGCGTCAAGGCCACCGATGTAGTTGAAGCTGGCGTTGTGCATGATCTCAAAGACGAGCTCCTCGGTCTCGTCCTTGGTTCTGTGCTGAACGAACCACTGAGAGCCACGGCCAGCGTTACGTCCATTGAAGCGGACCAGGACGACTCCGAATTCGATGTTCTTGCCTGTGCCAAAGAAGGTTTCATTCAGGACCTCTGCCTCGTAATGGCCGTTGTGCACGGCCCAGAAGTCAATAGTCTTGCGGCCACCCATCTCTTCCAAGAAGGTGGGCAAATTATAGGCGTGGATCTGGTGACCGCTCAACATGTCAAGTACGCCATCGGTGTCAAAACCTAGCTTCGTGGCGTTCCCAGTCGGAGATAGGCATCCGAGGAACAGCCATGCCTTTCGCATCTTGCCCCAAAGCGTTGCGAACTCGTAAATTTGAGGCTCGAGTATGAGGCCGCGCCAGCCAGTGATCTCCAGGAGGAGAGTGTAACTGTTCGTCTCGCCGTCCCCGCCGTGGGTGTCCAGGTAGAAGCCGTTGGTGACGTTCTCGAGCACCTGCGTGATGAGCTTGACGTCCTGCCAGGCGCTGCTGAAGGTCTGGATGTTGTCCCCGGTCTCCAGACTGTACTCGACCTTAGGTTATTTATTCGCGTTCAATGCTTCGGAGGTTGGCCAACCAAAACAGAAATGCAACGGTAGCCCGAAACATAAAATGGCACCAGAAAAAAAAAACCTAATTAGTGGACACTCTGGAATTAGCGATATGGAGATTGAAACCGTTTGTGAACGAATAAAAGAGATAACTTTTAGCATCATCTGAGTCCTCGACCCAGTGGGGGACGTCGAGCATGTGCATGGCCGAGTACTCGTGGACGACCCAGTTGTCGCCGCCCCGCGGAGTGCCGACGCCCCAGGGCAGCTCGGCGCCCCCGCCCTGCCCGGCATCTGCCCTGGCCTGAAACTCCTCCGAGGGCTGGAAGTCCTCGCCCGCCCTGAGAGGTGAGGTGGGCAAGGGCTTCGTGGGCCCTGGAAACGACCGGGCCGTTCTCGTTGCCGGTTCCGTTTTGCCGTGTGGTTGCCAGTCCCGGCACCGTTTTCTTACCGGAATTCCGTCGCCGATGTTGTTACCGGTTCCGTCCCCAACTCCAATCCTGGAGCCGTAGTTTTGCCATTTCCAGTCGCCGTTCTTATGCCGCTTCCATTTTCAAGAGACACTTGTTCGAACACGGTGAAAAAAACGGCCCTGCCGTTTCCGCGGCCCACAAAGAGGGCAGGGGCTGGGCGAGACTGCACGCGGGGGCGATCCATAGGGGGGGGGACGCCGAGGGCGAGGGCTGCCGAACAGGGGCCCTCTGGGGCCCCCGGAGGGGCCCTCCGGGGCCCAGAAGGGGCCTTCAGGGCCCGAAGAGGGCACCCACTCAGCGTCCCTGAGCGAGGCTCTGAGAGGGACATCTTCCAGCTGGACGCGCGGGGAGTCCATCCCCGCACCGAATGTAAGCCCACACGCTCTCATGCGCCTGATGCTTCTAAAGATCTCATTGGTTCCCCTCGTCGGGTCTAGCCGCTGGCTTGTCTCTGGCGGCGGCGCGGGTCAGCCCGTCAGGAACCAGTCCTGCCTCTTCCGTCAGGGCACCCACTTTCCCCCCCATTCATCGCCCCTCCTCAACTCGCGCCCAAACATGGAGAAGCATGTCAACTTCCTGAGGTCCGCGCGGATCTCTCGGGTCGGCGCCGTACACCGCCTCCCCCCCCCACCCCACCCGCGCGCGGAGCGCGCCCAAGGGCGGCTCCGGAGTCGCCTCCAGGCGTGTGACGGGGGGGGGGGCGATCCAAGCGATCTGCGTTTCGGACGGCGCCAAGCACGCATCTGGCTGGTCTGGCACACGGCTGGCGCCGTCCCATCCTCATTGACCTCCGAAAGTCTGAAATGGTCACGCCGCGCTTGTAGGAAGCACTCCCTGGGAGGTCTTCGTCTTCGCGAGAATGCTTCGTTCCAGGCAGGTTGAGGGGACTGCAAGGCGGATCAGACCCGATTACGCCTAGGATCAAGGGTAAGTTCAACCCAGCTCAGCCCAGGATTAGGCCGGATCCCGACCAGGAATCTACTGGCGCCGACGCTGAATTGCATCCCCCGGGACTTGCATCCTACGGTCGGGACGTTGTTTGCTTAGCGTGTCGCGGCAGCGTCCCCAGCGGCACGCTGCATGCTACGCCTTCCAATCGGACTGCGTGTCGCTCCGCTCCGCAGGGCGCGAGGCTGGGAAACTCTCGGGACGTTGACGCTTGGGGACGGGGACGCGGATGGCGTGTCGCGACGGACCATGGTAAGGGCCAAGACTGGCGGCGCCACACATCAAACTGAAGCTCGTGACCGTGAGCTCTCATTCCCAGACCCCCGACGTCATGATGCTTCATGACGTCGACTCCCACCAAAGATCTCGACCCTTTCTCCAAGACCAGTTGTTCATCCTGGGTCGTTGTCTGAGGGCCCCGGGACCTGGCGCGGGCCCCAAAACGCTGAGAACGACGAAAAACCTTCCGTCCTGATGTTTTCACGGCGCGAGCATGTCTGGCTTGTGGCGAACGAGCAACGCACATGCCCACAGGGGGATCGGAGGGAGGAGGAGGACTGGCTATGGGTATGGGTGCGGGTTGCCGGACCTTGGGCGAGGCTCCCGTTCGAGCGGGGACCCCCTATCCCACCACTCGCACCCGTAGCCCCCTCAGTTCCCCCTGCCTGTTGTTCGTTCGTCAGGTTTGGCCCCCAGAGAACCTGGAGGCCGCGCTGCCCATCTCCAGGAGGCTGAGGTGGCGGCCGGCGGGCTTCGACACCTGCGAGGCGGGCCCCCGCAGGTCTCCCGGCGGCACCAGCACGGGCCGCCTGGCCGACGAGGCGTTGAGGGCGTGGAAGTACGCCAGCGCATGCGCGGACAGGGTCCTGGGTGCGGGCAAGACTGGTGCCCATCTCCACTGCAGTCTGGAGTTTCGAGCTCTTTGCCATAGAAGCCCCAGGCGCACTGAACATGGATGGAGATCTGGCCCCTAGAGGCTCGATGTTTATCCATATCCGGTGCGCCTCGGCCTTGTGGCGCCCCTTCCCAGAAAGTCCAAGACGCACTGGATCAGGAAATAAGTATTGCCGCACTGGGCAGGCGGTGGGTTCAAGACTGGAGCTTCTGTGCTTCCACCGCCTTGCGAACCCTGGGCCACCCATTTCTTGACGTCTGTAAAGTATCTCTCTATCTCTCACATTATCTCTATCTGTCGATCGATCTATATAGATAGATATCCTTCTCGCTCTCCAAATTTGTCTATCTCGATTGTGTTGCCTCTTCCTCTCTTCATTTATGTTTGTTTTTTATCTCTCTCTCTCTCTCTCTCTTCTCTCTCCCTCTCCCCCTCGTTCTCTTACGCAAATGTATCCGCCACCGTGCCCTGAGGCACGAGTTGGAAGGTCCTCGGGTCCCTTGGAGTTCTCCGTCCGCAGTCCTGAGTGAATGCTCTCTCTCTCTCTCTCTCTCTCTGTATTTCCCAGGGCGCGTCGCGGCGGCTCTCCCTGGGCTTGGCGCATCGTCTCGCTTGACCTTGTCTGATGCCAAAATACCCCAAGACGGACCACGAGGACCCCGAGGAGGCCCCCCAATAAAGCCACCGAGACGCTCCAAGACGGCCCGGAATAACCCGAAGATCGCTCCAAGACAGATGGCCTCCAGGTCAAAGGGGCCGCCCCAGGAGGGCTGCAAGAGGCCGAGCTCATTGATGTTCAGAAAGTGTGTGGAATGCGTTAGCGTTCTCGCCTTTTAAAGCTTTCGAAGCTCCAAGCTCGCCTTCCCTCGGACGTCCAAGCTCGCCATCGCGGGATGATTCAAGATGCTCCTCGATTGTCCTCGCAGAAAACACACGTCCGAGCGATGCAAAGACCAGGACGGCCGACGAGGCCCCCCAAAATCACCCCGAGGCGGCCTGCAGGGCCCCCACGAAAACCCACATTCCGCCCCACAACGACCTCTGCGACAGCCAGCAGGCTGGTACTCAGCCCCCCAGAGGCTCCAGGAGGCCACCCAAATGCCAGGAGGAGGAAAAGGAGGAGGAGCCCCTGAGAGGCCCAAAAGAGGCCCCCGAGAAGCCCCAACGCCAGCCCAAGACCGCTTGCAAGAGGCTTCCGAGAGGGCTCCGAGATCACCACAGGCATCCAAGGAGGCACCTGTTCAACGACCAAGGCACGGTGGCGGAATGCGCCAGAGGCCGCTCGACATTACATACGTATGCAAATATATCTGGAAAGAGAGGCACGTGCACACAACATACATTAGCAGATGCGCAATGACAACCATAACCATCGCAAGCAAACAACATGTATATATATATAGATATAGATATACAGTTATAGATGCACGGACGGACGGTAAGAACGCCAAGGCCTTGGACACCGAACATGGTACGTGTTAGGCTGCGGGCTGCCCATGCCCCACGGACGCAAGGGTACCCTAACCCAGTCGCGCCGTTGCTGGACGAGCGTCGGGACAAACAGCAACTATAACGCGCTGGGGAGGCACGCGGCATGTGCTGCGGAGGCAAGGACGCGCAAAGGCCGCCGATACATCTTCATTAACCAATGCATATACGTACACGCGTATCCGTGTACGTGCCCATGTTCCTATGCCGCCACACATGTTTGTTTACCTGTGTGTCTGTATATACAAACGTATTGGTATGAGTGTATACGTACGGATTACACACACATAGTTAGGCGCGTGTGTATGCATGTGGGTCTGCAAATATATGTACTTGCGCCTATGCATATACAACTAGTTACACATGTGTATACGTGTACACGCAAGTGACTGGAACACACAAAAACACGCATCACACAATTACGTACACCGCCTATACGTGTCCATACACATACGCATACAACAACACGCACACATGAACCTACACACATAAACAGCTACATACACCAATTCAGGCATGCATGCATGCGCGCATACATGCATAGACAGTTCGCCCGGACAGCACACCTGGACGACACATCCCGAAGGAAAGTACCCGAGGTGTCTGCATGAATTCACATGCGGTCGGGACTCACAACATGAATGGAGGCACAGACACGCCCCAGGCGTCTCATCTGCACCGCCGTTGCGAGGTGCCTCGGGATGCCACCCCGAGACACGGCTGCCAGGCACCACCCCCACTTGGCCGACGGCCTCAAGCAGCGGAGACCCCACTGCCCGAGGACTTTAGTTCCCACGCCCCCCCCGTCGGGGGACCCCTTCGAGTAACCCCTATCGGGCCTTTCGGGTGTGGTACGGCGGGCCCGCACCTGCTGTGGCTGGACAACCACAGGGCAAGAGTCTCTCCCACAGCCCCGTCTGGCTGTGGTGACGATCGGGCTGCCAACCACCCTGTTGTCCTGGGACGCCATGAGGGCACCCAGCGGCACAGGTGCTACATACACACATACATACATACATACATACATACATACATACATACATACATACATACATACATATATGCATACATACATGCATGCATGCATACATACATACAGACAGACATACTTACATACACACACATACATACATACAGACATACAAACATACATACACACATACATACATACATACATACATACGTACGTACGTACGTACATACATACATACATACATACATACATACATACATACATATATACATACATACATACATACATACATACATTGCATACATACATACATACATACATACATACATGCATGCATGCATGCATGCATGCATGCATGCATACATACATACATATATGCATATATACAAACATACATACATACATGCATACATACACATACGCATACCTACGACCACACCTACCTACCTACCTACCTACCTACCTACCTACCTACCTACCTACCTATCTCCCCACCTAAATGTATGCACGCATGCATGCATGCATGCATGCATGCATGCATGCATACATACATACATACAAACAAAAATCTGTACATGCAGGCACACATACACGCATGCACGCATGAATGCATACATGCATTCATGCACACATGCATGCATACAAACATACGTTCCCACGAACACGCACACACCTGTGTACACGCAGCGATGTTCAATGCCGCAACAGCACCCGCATCCGCATCTGGACCGACCGCGATGAGCGACGCACGCGTCGTGGCAACCACACCCCGATGCGCGACGCGCGGTCAACTTCGTGCCCTAGAGCGGCCGCCCCAGAGAAGGGCAGCTCTCCAACCCAGGCCGCGACGCGCAACGCGCGACTATCTTCGCGCCCCAGGAAGCGATGCCCATGAATCCTGAAGGCAGTGCGTACAGATAGCTTCGGGCCCTCACGGGGCCCAGAACCATATCCACTGCCTCACAGGTTCCCAGGGTGACGCTTCCCGAGGCGGTGAACATATAGAACTTCTGGCCCTAAGGGGAGGGGGGGGCAGGGGGAGAATGTTGAGAGGGTCCTGCTACTCCTCGTCCTCCTCCTGCCGTTTTCCCTCCTCTTCCTGCCCATCTTCCTCCCAGTCTACCTTTTCCTTGTCCTCGTCCTCCTCCTTCTCGTCCTTACTGCGTTAGACCAACGTGCGGAACGAGCCTGCCGCGTTCTCCTCCTCCTCCTCCTCCTCCTCCTCCTCCTCCTCTTCCTCCTCCTCCTCCTCCTCCTCCTCCTCTTCCTCCCCCTCCCCCCCTCCTCCTCCTCCTCCTCCTCCTCCTCCTCCTCCTCCTCCTCCTCCTCCTCCTCCTCCTCCTCCTCCCTCCCTCCTCCTCCCCTCTCCTCCTCCTCCTCCTCCCCCTCTCCCCCCCCATTCCCCCTCCCCCTCCTCGTCGGCCTCCTCCTCCTCTTCCTCCCTCGTTGTGTTGTTTCGCAAGTGTTCCGATAACAACTACGACTCCTCCTTGCCCAGCTCTGACTCCTCCTTCTTCTCCTCCTGCCCCCCCTCCACCTCCTCCCTCTCATCCTCCTGCTCCTGTCCTGCTCCTGCTCCTGGTCCTGCTCTTGTTCCTGTTCCTCCTCGTCCTCGTCCTCGTCCTCCCTCCTCCTCTCCTCCTCCTCCTCCGACCCCTGCCCGTTTACCACCCCCTCCTCCTCCTCAAACCCCTCCCCCTCCTCCTCCTCCTCCTCCACCTCCTCCTCCGTCCGCTGTTCCTGGTCTTGGTGGCTGCGCGGCTGGCGCTCTTCAGGCCGAGGCCGCCAGCCGACGGCGCGCAGAGCGCCAGCGCCCACAGCGCGGCACGGAGGGTACCCGCCGGCGCGCCCCGCGTGGCACGCCTGGGGCGCGTCAGAGCTCGGCGGCGAGCAATGAAGGGGCCCTGGGACACACACACACACATAGATACGCACAAATAAAACAATCCCCCATAATTTTCTATATATTTCTGGCTTTTTGTCTCCCCCCACACTTCCCATATTTTCCCATTTTTTCTGGGAATCGCCGATTAATTGTGTCTGTGTGTTTTTTCCCCTCCTGAAGCAAGGGGGGGGGAAAGGAAAAAGAGACGGCCTCCTCAGAAGGCGGCGGGGCTTCTCAGGAGCCCGATCGCGCCTTCTGAACCGTTTTTTTCTTGCGCGTCTTCGGGGGGGGCTGACTGGACAGTGTCTCAAAAGGCCAGGGCGATGGGCCTGGTTTCCACCACCACCAGTATAAATTGGAGGGGGAGGGGGCTTTCCTCCTCCTCCTCCTCCTCCTCCTCCTCCTCTTCTTCGTCCTCCTCCTCCTCCTCCTCGTCCTCCGCCTTCCCCCTCCAACTTATGGTGGTGGTGGTGGTGGAAAACACGCCCATCACAGGGGGTTCAGGAACTGTCTGAGAAGGCCCACCCCTTTTCTCAATTCCCCTCACCTCGCCGCCGAAGAGTACTTGCCTACCGCCCAGCGCCCAGAACTCTGAACACACGCGCGCGCACACACAGCACACACACACA